GAAACTTGCTGGGATTTTCATAGGAATTGTGTTAAACCTGTATATCAATTTTGGAAGAACTGACATCTTTACTCTGTTGAGTCTTCACATCTATGAACATGGCATTGTTCTCTATTTATTTAGATATTCTTTTATTTCTTTCATCACTATTTTATAGTTTTCAGTATACAATGCCTGTACATGTTTTGTTAGATTTATGTTTAAGTATTTGTTCTCCTTTTCTGAGTAATTGTAAAGGTTACCCTATTTTTAATTTCAGTTTCCATGTGCTCATTGCTAAGATATAGAAATGCAATTGTTTTTTGTGTGTTGATCTGATATCCTGTGACCTTGCCAAATTCACTTATTAGTTTTAGGAGGGTTTGTTTTTGTCTTGGATTTTTATTTTTATTTTTTAGTAGATTCTTTGGGATTTTCTATGTAGACCATCATGTCATTTGCAAATAGAGATGCTTTTAATTTTTTCAAACCAGTGTGCCTTTTATTTTCTTTTGTTGATTTATTGCTCTGGCTAGGACTTTTGATACTGTGTTGAATAAGAGTGATGTGAGTGGACATACTTGTCTTGTTCCTGATCTTAAGGCTAAAGCATTCTGTCTTTTACCAAAAAGTATGATATTATTTGTAGGGTTTTTGTAGATGTTTGTCATCAAGTTGAGGAAGTTCCTATTACTAGGTTTCTGTTATTTTTTAAATAACAAACATGTTGAATTTTATCAGATGCTTTTTCTGTATAAACTTATATGATCATATTATTTTTCTCATTTACTGTGTTAATATGGTGGGTTACACTGATTACTTTTCAAATATCAAAGCAGCCTCACTTGTCCAAAATAAACCCCATTTATTTGTTGTGTATAAATTTTATACATATTGCTGAACTTTATTAGTTAATATTTTATTAAGGATTTTTTCTGTCTGTGTTCATGAGGGATATTGGTCTGTACTTTCTTTGTTCATACTGCCTGTGTCTTTTTTTGGAATCAGGATATCTGGCATCACAAAATGAGCTAGGACATGTTCCCCACTCTTTTGTTTTCTGGAAGAGATTGTATAGCAGTGGTGTTAATTCTTTTTGAAACTTTTATGGAATTCTCCAGTAAAACCATCTGGTCCTAGAGACTTCTTTGCCAGGGATTTTAAAATTATGATGCCAATATCTTTAATATGGCTATTAATATTATCTATTTATATTGGTTGAGCTATGGTAGTTTGTGAGATCGGTCTGTTTCATATAAGTTGTAACATTTCTGTTGTTCATATCATTGCCTTATTATCCTTTTGATGTCTGTGAGGGGTATAGTGATATCACTGATACAGGTAATTTGGTAATTGGTAATTTCTGATATTGTTCATTTATATCTTCTCTCTGATTTTCTTTGTCATGCTAGAGGTTTGTCAATTTTATTGATTTTTTCAAAGAACTAGCTTTTTATTTCATTGATTTTTCTCTATTGTTTTTATTTTCAACCTCATTGATTTCTGCTATCTGTATTATTTCTTTCTCTCTGTGCAACTCTATGCAGATAATATAATGAAGTAAAGTTGCCATTGGTGAAAAATATATATGGTGTCAGTTCACTACATATGTATAATATCATTATAAATTATAATGTTATAAATTATAATACTATACAATATATAATATAAGTATATAATATTAATTATATTACATATTGTATATATTAAGTGTAGAAACTGACATTTACAGCGATTACATCGAAAGAAATTCCCTCCTAAATAAGGTAATGAAACTGATTGGCTTTTCTGGCTTGTGGCTTGTTGTGTTATTTAAGGACCACAAATCATTTATATAAATCAGGTTTTTATTCTAAACTGATTCAGAAACCCCCTAAAATTCAGCATGGTATTTTGACTTCTGTGACCTCAGTAAGATCAATACCTACTTGGTGTTTATTTCTCCAGGCTGTTGACAGAGGCCCTGCTCAGAAGTCAGAAGCCCAAAGTAGGACTCACAGTTCCACCATAAATAATTGGGAGTTATCTGTGATTTTTAACCATGGCTGATTTCTGGTCTGTGTATAAAATAAAAATTAATATAACAACAAATCCAAAGCCACGTCACTGCTTTCCAAAAATCCAACTTATCTTTTTTTAAAATTTTTATTTAGTTATTTTTCAAGTACAGCTTTTTTTGTCTACTTCTCCCATCCCAGCCCCCCCCCCCGCCCCGTCTCCCCACCTCCCTCCCATTCCCCCCCTGTCCTCATCCCTGTGTCTTTCATACTTGTTCCTCAAAATCCCTCCCCATTTTTCCCCTTAAATTCCCTTCCCTCTCCCCTCTGGTCGCTGCCCACTTGTTCTCTATTTCAGTGTCTTTGTTTTTATTCTGTTTGCTTGTTTGTTTTGTTGTTTAGCTTCCTGTCAAAAGTGAGATCATATGGTATTTGTCCTTCAATGCCTGCCCTATTTCACTCAGCATAATGCTTTCCAGTTCCATCCATGTTGTTGCAAAGGGTAGTAGCTCCTTCTTTCTCTCTGCTGCATAGAATTCCATTGTGTCTATGTACCACAATTTTTTGATCCATTCATTTACTGATGGGCACCTAGGTTGCTTCCAACTCTTGGCTATTGTAATTTGTGCTGCTATGAACATTGCGGTGCATAGGTTCTTTGAAATTAATGTTTTAGGATTCTTGGGATATAATCCTAGCAATGGAATTGCTGGGTCAAAGGGCAGGTCGATTTTTATTTCCAATTTATCTTTTTTAATTTGATATTTTCTCATTGATATTTTAAAACAGGATAGTAAAATGGCTGTATTGTTTTCTGTGAATACACAAACTATATAATATTCTTCTTAGTCTCTTGAGCAAGTGTTGTTATTCACAAAGGACAAATTTTGGAAACTTCAAGATATGATCATAGGATTATTTCAGCAGATAAGCCTTATGTATGTCCTGAGTGCAACTGGTGGCATGGTAGCTGTCCTCTTGGAGTCCCCAGATTAAGTGACACAGAGATGAAGTGGTGGCTCTGTTGGAGGGTGGAATGGCTCACACCCAGGCAGCTAAATGAACAGGTAACCTTCCTATCCTGGAGTGCATTAATATAATCACGCAAGGACAAGTTAGGACACTCTGTGCTGTATAATCCTGTAGGACTGAGAATTTATGATAAAGTTCTCTGGGAGAAGCCCTGAGCTCTTTATGTAATTTAATTTGTAACCAATATTTTTAAAGAAGTTCAAGATGACAACTTGTAATCAAAGGCAGTATCCTGGAATGTGAAGAACTGGGGCTCTAACAGACTCATTTGCAATCTTGGTTCCACCATTTTCTGACTTTGTGATCTTGGGCAACTTATTTAACCTCTGTAACTCCCAGTCTCCTCACTGGTTAAATGGGGATAACAACAGTGTGAGAACAAAATGTGATAATAAATACAATAAAGAATTTTCTTATATTAAATGTACCATCTGGCTCATTGTAAAGATTTATTATATTTTAGCTATGATATTATCGTTACCAATCATAGTATCACTACTACTACAATTACTGTTATTATTACTGGTGAATCTTACATTAATGGAAAGCAGCTTGCATTTTTGGAATTTGTTATAATTTTTTTAATACCGTGGTAATATAGAGTCTGAATAAGTCACATTCTGAATGTGTGACTAATTATAAGTACCAGTTGAAGAAGCATCACCTTCTCACTTGCATATTTCAGAGGATTATTAGTAGCATGAGAATTTTGGCATGTCTACCACAGTGTTTCTCAACCATTTTTTTCATTATTGCCCTCCTAAGGAGCCTTCAAAAATGTTTTCCCCATTTTTAATACCACAGTAAAAATTTAATACCACAATTATTTTTCTTTTTAAGAAATGTCAACACCATAGATCTACTATGTATCTATTTATGGACTATAGTGTTTTAGAAGCCACAAACTATTGTAATGCCTGAGCACATTTTTTTGTCCTATAAAAACCAATTTTCACACCCATGGGGGCAATATCACACCCCCCCCATTGAGAATACATGTATTAACCCAGTTGTTCCCAACTGAGGGCAATTTTGCCTCCCAGTGGTCATTTGACAATATCTGAAGACATTTGTGATTGCACTGGGGTGGGTGGGTGTTTATTGGTATCATGTGGATAGAGGTCAGCACTCAAAATGTTAAGTTTGTCTCTGCGATTATTAAGCAAGGTAAAATATAGACTATGTGAACTCTAAGGTCACAAGGTAAACACAATAGCAGAAGTTAGGCTTCTGACCTTCAGGTTGAATGCATGGCCAATGTAATATACTTGTTTAGGAAAGAACACTATCTTTGCTTCTTAAGTATTGTTGCTGTTTTCAATAACATAGTGCTTTTTGCTCTTTCTGTCAAATATGTATAAAAATATGTGTGAACACTTTAACTATGTATTCAGTAACACCTTTGTTTTCTATTTTTGTATGGCTGTATCTTGCTTTATGAAACACATGTATTCTTTTTTTAAAAATATTTTTCATTTATTTATCTTTAGAGGGGAAGGGAAAAAGAGAGGGAGAGAAGTATCAATGTATGGTTGCCTCTCGTGTGTCCTCTGCTGGGAACTGGCCTGCAACCCAGGCATGTGCCCTGACTGGGAATCTAACCGCGATCCTCTGGTTCGCAGGCCGGTGTTCAATCTACTGAGCTACACCAGCCAGGGCTGAAACAGATGTATTCTTGAAAAAATTGTATACATTCATTTCCTGTGAGTTGCATTTATTCCTCAGATTTCATTTCATTATATATTTGGGAGGCTTATCTTCATTCCTAATTGCTCCTAATTTTGACCTGGCACATAACATTGTACTTTAAGTATGAATTTAGTGGCCTCTGTGTCTGGATTTTAGAGAGTAGGAATAGTTTAAGAGAGAGTATGAATTTATGTTTAAAATGATAGTTTGTTCTTTGATGGACATGGTCCGGGTCATATTTCCAGAGCCCCTGGCTCCCCTATTGCCCCTGTCACACTCACATTCCCTTCTTCTGCTGCCCAGAGTTGGCGTCGAGGAACCCTTCGAGGAGGACCAGAATGAACACCGCTGGCAGTACTTCAGGTGACACAAGGGCATCCTCTGAAACAAATTAACCTGGCCTGGTTTTCTCTCATCTTTCTAATCTGAGATGTTTCTCTTTATGCTGTTTGTCTCTTTCTTCCTGTGTGTACCAATCCTTTGCCCCCTTTAGCAAAGGGGCAAGTGGTCAGGTCAACTCTAATTCCATTCTTTCTCTGGGCTGCTTGATGTATCAATGTTCCTGAGATTATGTCCCAATACCCTACATTTTGGACAATGCTGGCATGTGTCTCTTTGTACAACTGAGCTTAGTGTTAAGAGCACCACATATGCAGAGCCACAAATTCTTTCCCCACAAAATTCTGCTAATTTTCTAATAAATGAGGCTTCTAACTCATGACAAGAACTAGAATTTTATGTCTCACCCATGGTTGGGATATGACTTACACCATCTTAATTAAGTACTATTTTAGTTTTTAAAATGTGTTTTTGTGTATTTGTACATTATCACAGTGAATCAGAAGATATGAAAAACAGGCATTTTTAAACCAGAAGATAATTAAAGGATCTTCTAATGCAATTTGTTTCTCAGTGTGCATCCAAGTTTTTGATTTGATGATGCTTAACGGTAATGATGTTGGGCGATCAGAATAAAGACTTTAATATTCTTTTCTTTCTGTATCTTTAACTTGCATGCTTTCTTCCTGATCTGGTTTTGTGTGCTGGTCAATAATTCAAGTGCAAAATAGGCTTGAACTTTGTTCTTGGCATTGTGAAAGTATTTCACTCTTTAAGCACAGTGAGGAAAACAGCCATACATGGATCTAGCTCCTGGATGCATTCCATAATGACATAGAGAAAATTAATTGAAGCATTTAAGCTTTCTGGGTTTTAACTTTTTTCTATTGTTTAAAATACATGCATACACATTCATTTTTGGAGATCCAACTTTAGATACTGATTAAGTTGCAGAGGAAACCCTCTCCTTTGAAATATTCCACCTTTAAGAAGGAAGTTTCTTCAGGCAAAGTGCTGATTATTACACTTGGGACATGAAAAAATTCAGATTCTGATCTGTTGTTCAAGGTTTTGTATGAAGGTATGTGTCTAATAGTCCTCAAATTATTTAGGATCTCTGCCATTCAAATAAAAAAAACTATCAATTAAAGTAGATAGTTCTAAATTTGTAAATTTCAGAAGTTTTAAAATTTCTTCAACTTTATAGCATTTTATATGGCAGTTAATGAGAATGTACATGTTATACCAGAAGGGAAATTATTCATTTTTTGTATTTAATTATTCTAGACTGAGCACATCTGTTTGATTGCTTTACTTTCTCACTTGGTGTGGGATTTTCACATTTGTTTCATTCTTAATGAAAATAAGGATAATTCAGTTTATTCCAGAAGAATATTGTATGTGCTCTGATGAGCTCAACCCTGATGTACCAGGGGAATGCTAAAATATGATATAGTAAAACAGCACACAAAGTTCAAAGCATTACAGTGGGTCAGAAGAGAAATGTATGTTGTGGACAGTTGCCTGAAACTAGGAATTTCAGAAAGTCAGAGAACCCCCGAGTCTTCTGAGGCATTATACTAAAATACTGTGCTTGGACTTTCTTGCGGCCCAGAGCACCCCCAAACACCCTGGCCCATTGCTTAATCTCCTGTCTCCAGAGACCAGGTTGGTTTTGAACTCTGATCCAAGGGTGAGGCTCCTTGTGGTGGTCCACTGTCATTCTTGGAGATTGGTCTGAGGGGCCCTCAACCCTGTCAGAAAAGTAATTATTAATTGTAATAAAGTAAACAGCCTTCAATGGAGAAATCACACAGCACCATTTGAGTCTCATGGCCCCTCGTCTGTTTTTTTTTCCCCATTATTTATAAAGACAGTAGCAGTCCAGGAAGTAGGTCTTTGTTTCCTTCCTCAGAAATGTATTAGCATTTATACAAGGAGCAGAGGCCTCCCACATTTCTTTGCCTGTGGGAGGGCCCAGAATGTGCTCTCAGGCTCCTTTTAGGCTACATGCTGTCAGGAGCTTGAACTGCATCTCAGACGGTAGTTGATGGCAAGTGGTAACAGCAAGGTTCAGAACTTCCATGGCAGAGGTAGGTAAAAGCAAGAAAAGTGGATGCTGGGTAGCAATATCCTTAGAACTGAGGATTTCCTGGGGATGGGTTCAACAAGATCAGAAGATGGCTCAATTTGTTGGAATTTGATTAACTATGTTTCATTTAACTATCATTTTTCTCCTTGCCTTTTCCTGTCAGGAGAATCTGAACAAAATATTCCAGGATTTATCTGGAGAGGAAAACTATGTAATTACTAGAATCTATATCTACCTATTTATCTATTACCTATATTTACCTATTATAGCACCCATGTCCGTGAATCTTCACAATTTGTGGTTTTCACACCCCAAAATAATACAAGATCCTTAATAATCAATATTAGTATATTAGAGAGCCAAGAAAAATACTTATGTGTTTTTGAAACATTGCCAAAAATGGTATAATTAAATATTCCTCTTTTATTTTCACCAAGAATTAAAGTCTTTTTTAGTTGTGAAAAAATTTAAATCTGTAAAAAAATGGAAAGAATGGAACAATGAATACCTAACTACTAACCTGGATGTGTCAATTGTTAACATTTTATCATACTTTTTGGTCATTTTAACTCTCTTGCTCTCTTTCAACCATTTCAGAGTACTTCATAGTACATAGCAGATATCATGACTTTCTAACCCTAAATACTTCAGCATGTATCTCCTAGGAATCCAGTCTACCGACATGATCACAATACCTTTATCATACCTGAGAAAAAGTAACATGAATTTTATACACACACTGGATACAGGATCCAATCAAAGTTTACTTTGGTTGTCATGTCTCTTTAATCTCTTTTAGTCTGGAACAATATTCAACCCCATTTTTTGTGTGTCTTACAACACTGAGTTTTTTAAGTATTCAGGAAAATTGTCTCACAGAATTCCCACAATCTGGATTTTTATTTTTGTTTTCCACATGACTAGAGATAATCATTTTTGCACACAAAAAAACCCTGTAAAGGTGATATTATGCGTTTCTTTTTAAAATATGTTATGTATTTAACTTTTAGAGAGGGGGAAGAGAGGGAGAGAAACATCAATGTGTGGTTATCCCTCATATGTCCCCTACTGGGGAACTGGCCCACAATCTAGGCATGTGCACTGACTGGGAATCAAACCAGTGACCCTTTGGTTCACAGACTGGCTCTCAGTCCACTGAGCCACACTAGCCAGGGCTGATGTTATACATTTCTTGTTGCATCTTATCATGTGGTGAATATTGCCAGTCTGACCTTTATTAGTGATGCTAAACTTGGTCACTTTAGACCTTAGGTTTCTCCCCTGTAAAGGTGTCACTTGTCCTGTGTAACTAAGAAGTAATTTGTATACCTGTTCCTTGACTAAACCCTTCTCCTCCTTTCCCCTTTTACCTCCCTCCCCTCTGGTTGTTGTCAGTCTGTTCCTTGTTTCCGTGCTTCTGGTTCTATTTTGCTCACTTGTTTGTTTTGTTCATTAGGTTCCTATTTTTAATTTTTTATTTAATTGTTGTTCAAGTACAGATTTCTGTCTTTTACTCCCATCCCAGCCTAATCCCCAGTGCTTCTGACCTCCCTCCCATTTCCACTCCCCCTTAGTTGTTGTCCATGTGTCCTTTATACTAGTTCCTGTAAATCCTTCCCTTTTTCCCCCAGAAATTCCCTCTTCTCTTCCCTCTGGTCACTGTCTTCTGTTCTCTATTTCAGCATCTTTGGTTATATTTTGCTTGCTTGTTTGTTTTGTTGTTTAGGTTCCTGTTAAAGGTGAGATCATATGGCATACGCCTGGCTTATTTCACTCAGCATAATGTTTTCCATTTCCATCCATGCTGGTGCAAAGTGTAGGAACTCCTTTCTTTCTGCTGCATTAGGTTCCTCTTATAGATGAGATCACATGGTATTTGTCACCTCCTGGCTCATTTCACATAGAACAGCAATTTTTAAAAAAGCAATGTAGAGTGATGCTTTGATATCATATGAATAGCCAGACTCCAAACAACCTTTTGCCTGCTGTACATCATCCATTGGTGACCCTTGCTTGAAATAGTTATTATACTAGGAGTGGAAAATAGTGATTTTTCTAATTCTGTCATTTCTTTAATGTTTATAAAATGACATTTATCTACAAAGAAGAGCTTTCAGAGAGTTTTCAAATTTATTTTGTATATTGATGAAATGAGGAGTCTCTCCATTGTCTAATCAGTTTGAGCAAAATTTTACTTCATATTTCTGGCACTTGGAATTATGTATCTGCAGGATCTCAGCAGTCATCTCAGATGTTATCACTGGGAATGCAAAAGGCAGGAGGCAGTTGTCAGTTTTTTAGTCGAGAAAAAAATCATGCTAGAGAGATGTGGCTGGAATTAGTACTTTCTAGAAACTTCACTGTCCAATTTGGTAGCCACTAGCCACATGTAGCTATTTAAATTCAATTTTTAATTAAAACTAAGTAAAATTTAAAATGCAGTTCCTCAGAATCAGAGAAATGTACATTACATGCAGGGATTTCAGTGAGGGGGTGAAAGGAGGAATGTGGAGGAAAGGTACAGGGAAGAAGAAGCATAGTGAGTAGGCATAAAATGGATGGGGAGAGATAAAAATAGTATAGGAAACAGAGAAGTCAAAGAACTTGTATGAACAACCAATGGACTTGAACTAAGAGGGGGAATGCTGGAGGGTTGGAGGAGGGAGGGGGGATAAAGGGGAGACATTGGGGGAACTGTAATAGCATAATTAATAAAAACACTTTTTAAAAACCCTGTAGTCCTTGATGTAGGGGTGTGTATAAATTTGGTAATGTGGCCAGTAGAATTGACTTTCTGAAAATAAAAAGTATTTTATTTCACATACACAATGCAGTTCCTTAGTCATATTAACAACATTTCTAGTGCTGAGTGGCCACATGTGGCTAATGGCTACCATGCTGGACAGTGCAGATCTAGAACACTGCCATCATTGCCAAAAAGTTCTATTGGACAGTGTGGATGTAGAATCACTCTTAAGTTCTCCCAAACAAAATGTTGAACATTTTGTTCAACATCCTGAGTTTAATATGAGATTCAAGTGGCTCTAATTTTGTGAGTTTATCCAATTATTTCATTGTTTTGTGCTTTGCTGTTTTGATTCTAGCCTGGCCATGTGGGTCCAGGGTGAATAGATGAGTTCCACTGATGTTGCCAGGGCTTGAGTGAAAATAGTCAAAAACTAGTCTTTATAAGCAGTTCTTATTGAATGAAATTTATTTTATTTTTGCTCAACAATATTTCTGTCTTCTGGTAGAGATCAGTTAAAGGAATAGAGGGGCTAAATTTCCTTTGTCAGGTTTTATTGTATTTGACTTAATTTTTTTCATTGTAGTACAGGGCACTCTTCAGCCTTTTCTCCTACCCATGGGCTTGCTATTTCACCTAGGCTGATAAAGTCAATTGGTTTTATCTGTACTGACATGAAAACCATATACAAAGGCTAATACACCTGTTTCAAAATTCGTGGTACAGAAAAGAGAGATTATTAGTGGCAGATCTGAATGGCCATACTCTTGGGCATAATATACTTCAGGCCATTCAGATCTCATAAACTTGTTGCTGCTGCCTTACAATAGCCTCTCTGTGGTAAGGCTGAGGGCTGTTTGGTCACCTGGCATTCTGGTAGGCTATCTGGGAGACCCTGGGGTAATTCGTACTGTGTCCCTTGAAATGTGCACTGGGAGCTCATCTTAGTCACTTAGTCTACCATGAAGTGGCTTACAGAATCCACAGAACAAGGCTGATTATTGGATTCCTAGCTGTTGGTTTTATAAATGCTGACAAAACTGCCCTATGGAAGACTTTTCTCTGTGTAATACACATTAAGAGACTCAGAATATGTGAGTGTTCAGGATCAACAGCTAGGAATTCAAGTTGTGACCTCTCCTATACCACTTTGGTACATTAGACACTTTGGGTGCACTGATGCTCTGGTATGAGTTTTGTGGGCAGTCTTGGGACCCCTGAAGTAGATGGATTTCATGTCAAAAAGTATCTGTGAGATTTGTTGCTTAAAAGTCCCTGGATAATGTCCACTTGTGAGAACAAGCCTCCACACCTCAGAAGCTCCTGCCTAAAAGCAGCTTATAGACACATAGCAGTCTACCTAATTTACCACAAAAGGTCCCATTAAACCTTAGGCCCATGGGGAATAAATCAGGCACTGGGTACACTATGGGTTCATAACAGTGTGAAAAAATATGGACTAACTCTTCCCTTTCCTTCTATAACCCTACCCTGTCCAAGGGCATGCATCTTTGGTTAGTGCTTGACAAGCCTGGAATAAGAGAGGTTGGCTTCGGAGGGAGGGGTGCATCTGTGTTGTCTTCTATTCCCCTTTTCCATTACTATCTGCTCTCAAGAAATATGCTGGGCATCACAGGTGGGGAAGAGGAAAGGAGAAGAAGAAATATAAGGCATGCACACACAGCTTTGTGCTTCTGCTGCTCTGCTCATTGGAGTAAGAACCCTGGTACTGAACTGCAGATAACACCCTGGTGAAGGACACTTGAGCTTGAAGAGAAGGCCATTCAGCACCTCTCTTCAAGTTCAAATCAGGCCTGCTGAACACTGTGTTCTCAGTTTACCTTGAGTATACCATATCTTTTTTGTGGTATTGGAAGGAGTGAGGGAAGATAGAGAATTCTCCTGGTATCTTTGGTTTTTTTTCCACATTTCCCCATGTTATCTATGTCAGAATCAGGAAGGCATAAGAATAAAGAATTAACGAGTGCATAGGGCAATAGTTGGTATATTACTGAGCCAAGAACACATTTTTATGAAATTTGTTATAAGCTGATTTTGCCACTTTGCTTTTTGCTTTCTGTGTTTAGTTGTGCATCTCACAAGTGTGACTCCTCAGGTCATCTCTGCTGTAGGAGGATGTGGGGGCACCAGTATAAATATTTTGAGATCTATGCATGCTGGAGTATTTAGAGGAAATATACTGATTCCTGCAACTTTATTTTAATTCATCCAAAAAAAAAAAGATGCGGGGGAGAGATGGATAGACATATAATAAAGAAAATACAACAAATTTTAATGGTAGAATCTAGGTGGTGGATATATAGGTGTTCACTATAAATTCTTTCAGAATTTCCTTGGATATATGAAAAGTTTCATAACAAAAGGTCAGGAAAATAAAAGGAGGTCAGGACAACAGTGAGAAGCAGTAGATAGGAAAAAGCCTGGTGCAGTAGGACCCACATTTTTATAATGGACAGTCTGGTGCAGGAAAGCAGATTGGCAGTTGCCAGCTGGTGCTGTTCCCTAGAGGCCTTGCTCAGGGTGTAAGCACACAGGATTTATTGCTTCTCCTACCCTCTGAGACCTGGTGTGGTATATAATCTCTTTCTCCTGATTTGCATGACAGCCTCTCTCTTCTTTTAGATACCTATTCCTTCTGCTTCAGGAAGATGGTCAGCCTCTTGCCAACTTTCAGCCAGAAAGCTTGCCCTGGTCCAAGCTAACACTCTCCATTTTTCTCCTTGTCTTTCTCCCTGGTGACTGATAGAGTTGGTGTTGACCCAGATCAAGACCCACCACCCAACAATGACAGCTTTCAAGTCTTACAAGGGGTAAGTCACAAGACATGTTTCTTTCCAGGAAAGACATTATTAAAAATGTCTAAAATTTATTGAGCATTTACTACATACCAGGCCCTTCACATGAATTTCCTCATTGTGATCTTGACAAGAACTTTATGAGGTATGTACTATCATCCCATTTTATGGATTAGAAGCTGAGGTTTGGGAGTGTCAGTGAATTATATAAGGCCAGAGAATTAGTAGGTGATGGAGCCAGGATTTGATCCCAGAGACTGTGTTCTTAAGCAATATATTAAGGGGATGGGCTGACCAGAAAGAGTGTTTAGGCCAAGTCTCCAACTCCCTATCTTCCACAAATTGATATATTGGATAAATTGGTGATTGGTTCACTGCAACTTGTTCTGAGTCTCTCAGTGATACCCAGGCAGAGGAAGGAAAGGGATGTGATTGCAGGCTCTCCTGTTCTTCTAGTGCCTGGGATCATCCAAGCTCTCTGAGTTTCCCTCCAACCCATCAATTGCAGAGCAGCAGCCCTCATCCCTGTATGGGCTGAAGGTCACAACAAGGCTAAGAGTTAAGTCCTGTGTAGGGCAATAGCAGCAGTGACAGCATGGAACAGAGCATGGGGGAGGGAAGCTGTAGACACAGTGAATGGAAGAGCCCTATGACAGCATTTAGTGTGACCACAGGAAAGAGTGGCTGTTGCAGCAGAGAATGTTGATGGCTCTTGGTTTGGCCATCTGCAACAGTTACTTAATAAACTGTCCCAAATGTAGGAGAATGAACAATTTCTCCTACTCATGGATTCTCTAGGTCAGGTATTTGGAAAGGGTCTAGTACAAATAGCTTTCCTTTGCTCCGTGAAGGAGGCCAGGGGTTATCTGGGTGAAGATGAGGCTTGAAACATCCCAAGGTTGATTTGCTCCTATGTCTGGAGCCTGGGCTGGAGGACTCACATGAAGACAGCCAACTAGAATACTGAATTGTGGCTTCTCCAAGTGGCTTCAGGGAACTGGACCCCTTATATGATGACTTACGGTTCAAAAGCCAGTGTCCCACTAAGCAAGGTGGACACTACATAGCCTTTTACGACCTAACCTTGAAAATCTCACAGCATTACTTCTGTGACTTTCTATTGGTTACGAGTTGTTAGGGCCAGCCCAGATTCAAGAGGAGGGGAATAGAGACCATAATCTCTGAGTGGCAAGGGTGTCAGTAAAGTGACTTCCAGCCTAGATGGAGGCATAGGTGTAAATACTGTACCTCCTCACACAACCAAATTTAAGAACAACAAAGATTTAGAAACAAAAAACACATTAAGAATAGACAGAAAATTGAACTGTACCGAAGTGCAACAACAATGAACCATTCATCCACATCGGTAAGAGGGGCAAAGTCGGCAGATGGCAGAGAGGGGTCCAGGCAGGAAAAAGCAGTAGTTGGCAGAACCGGGCATGGGGAGGAAACAAGCAAACCCAGTGAGTCCTGCAAGGTGGTGGCTGACCATGAACACACATTCGCATGCAGATAAACCAGGCAACAAATGGGCAGTGACACAGACCACGCAACCCAGAGCCCCAGTGGTGGGAAATAAAGCCTAAAAGCACTGATTGAAAACACTTGCGGGGGGGGGTTGAGGTGTTGGGAGGGGCTCCCAGCCTCACAGGAGAGTTCGTTGGAGAGACCCACAGGGTCTTAGAACATACACAAGCCCACCCACCTAGGAACCAGCACCAGAAGGGCCCAATTTGCTTGTGGGAAGAGGCAGAGGAGACTGAAATCCGAAAGAGAGCAAACAAACACCATTATTCCCTCTCTGACCCTGCCCCCACAGACAGTGTCACAAGCCAGCAACTGGGCTACCCAGCAACTGGATTGCCCCGCCCTGGTGAGCACCTAAGGCTCCGCCCCTCATACATAACAGGCGCAACCTGACCGAAAAATTATGGCTCCAACAGAAGAACAAATCAAAGCCTCAGAGCAAATACTTTTAAGTGACCAAGAGATAGCCAACCTATCAGATGCACAGTTCAAAACACTGGTGATCAGGATGCTCACAAAACTGGTTGAGGTTAGTCACAAATTAGAGGAACAAAGGAAGGCTACACTAAGTGAAACCAAGCAAAATGCACAGTGAACCAATAGTGATGGGAAGAAAACTGGAACTCAAATCAGCAGAGTGGACCAGAAGGAAGAAACAAACAACCAAACAGAAGGGAATGAAGAAACGAGAATTCAAATAAATTAAAGGCTTAGGAACCTCCAGGACATCTTTAAACGCTCCAACATCTGAATTATAGGGGTGCCGGAAGAAGAAGAGCGACAAGTGGAAAACTTATTTGAACAAACAATAAAGGAGAACCTCCCCAATCTGGCAAAGGAAATAGACTTCCAGGAAGTCCAGGAAGCTCAGAGAGTCCCAAAGAAGCTGGACCCGAAGAGGAACACACCAAGGCACATCACAATTACATTACCCAAGATTTAAAATGAAGGAGAGAATTCTAGAAGCAGCAAGGGATAAGGGGACAGTCACCTACGAAGGAGTTCCCATCAGACTGTCAGCAGATTTCTCAAAAGAGACCTTACAGGCAAGAGGAGGCTGGAAAGAAGTATTCCAAGTCATGAAATCCAAAGACCTACATCCAAGATTGCTCTATTCAGCAAAGCTTTCATTTAGAATGGAAGGACAGATAAAGTGCTTCTCAGATAAGACCAAATTCAAGGAGTTCATCATCATCAAGCCCTTATTATATGAAATGTTAAAGGGACTTATCTAAGAAAAAGAAGATAAAAAAGATGAACAGTGAAAGGACAGCAAACTCACAGTTATTAACAACCACACCTAAAACAAAAGCAAACTAAGAGGACAGCTAGATCAGGAGTGGAACCATAGAAATGGAGATCACATGGAGGGTTAGCAACAGGGGAGTTGGAGGAGGAGAGGTGGGGAGAAGGTACAGAGAACAAGCAGCATAGATGGTAGGTAGAAAATTGACAGGGGGAGGGCAAGAGTAGTGTGGGAAATGTAGAAGCTAAAGAACTTATGGCACATGTGGGGCTGGCAGGAGGATTTTGTGTCTAGGTTTTACTCCTTTCCCAGGCTGGCATTTCCTGGGCAGGCCAAGTGGTAGAAAGGAGAGTTACGTTGAGAGCAGAATTTTTTCCCCAAAATGTTATTATTTGCTTTTGGGAGTCAAGAACAGTTTTGATCAGCATCAAAAACCCAGTGCTGAGCATAGTGCCTGGCACCTGGGGAGCTCAATAGGTATTTATTTGATGGACATATGCAAACATGATGGACCAACACAGTAGGAAGCTTCACTGACCACATACATATGTTGTCTGTGAAACCATGTCAATTGTTTCTTTTTCCTCCAGCCAGCATTTAAAAAAATTACTTTATTTTTGTCCAATTACAGTTGTCCACATTTATCCCCCACCACTCCCTCCCTACCCCAGCCATCCCCACCTGCCTCCCCTGCTTCCACACCCTCCTGGTTTTCTCCAAGTGTCCTTTATAGTTGTTCCTACAAAGCCTTCTCTCCTCCCCCCATTATCCCCTCTCACCTCCTCGATAGTTACTGTCAGATTGTTTTTAATTTCAATGTCTCTGGTTATATTTTGCTTGCTTGTTTGTTTTGTTGACTAGATTCCAGTTAAAGGTGAGATCATATGGTATTTGTCTTTCACCAGCTGGCTTATTTACTCAGCATAATGCTTTCCAGTTCCATCCATGTTGTTTCAAAGGGTAGGAGCTCCTTCTTTTTTTTCTGCTGTGTAGAATTCCATGGTGTAAATGTACCATAGTTTTTGGATCCATTAATTTACTGATGGGCACTTGGGTTGCTTCCAGTACTTGGTTATTGTAAATTGTGCTGCTGCAAACATTGGGTTGCATAGGTTCTTTTGGATTGGTGTTTCAGGGTTCTTAGGATATAATCCCAACAGTGGAATTGCTGGGTCAAAAGCATTTCCATTTTTAGTTTTCTGAGGAAATTCCATAGTGTTTTCCAGAGTGGTTGTACCAGTCTGCAGTCCCACCAACAGTGCTCTAGGGTACCCTTTTCTCCACACCCTCTCCAACACATGTTGTTTGTTGATTTGTTTATGGTGGCCATTCCTACTGCATTGAAGTGGTATATCACTGTGGTTTTAATTTGCATCTATCTGATGGCTAGTGATGCTGAATATCCTTTCATATGTATCTGGACCCTCTGTATGTCCTCCTTGGAGAAGTGTCTGTTCAAGTCCTTTGCCCATTTTTTAATTGGGTTGCTTGTCTTCTTCAAATAGAGTCATGTGAGTTCTTTATATATTTTGGACATCAAACCCTTGTCTGAGGTATGATTGGCAAATATGTTTTCCCATATAGTTGGTTCTCTTTTCATTTTAATGCTGTTTTCTTTAGCCATGCAGAAGCTTTTTATTTTGATGAGGTCCTATTTGTTTATTCTTTCCTTTATGTTCCTCACTCTAAGGGGACATATTGGTAAAAATATTGCTGTGTGGAATGTCTGAGATTTTCCCTGCCTGTGTTTTCCTCTAGGACTTTTATGGTGTCATGGCTTATATTTAAGTCTTTTATCCACCTTGAATTTATTTTTGTGTATGGTGTATATTGGTGCTCATGTTTCATTTTTTTGCACATAGCTGTCCAGTTCTCCCAACACCATTTGTTGAAGAGGCTATCTTTGCTCCATTTTATGTTGCTTTCCCCTTTGTCAAATATTAATTGACCATAGAGACTTGGGTTTATGGGCTCTCTATTCTGTTTCATTGGTCCATGTGTCTGTTTATATGCCAGTACCAGGCTGTTTTGATAACAGTGGCCTTGTAATAAAGTTTGATATCAGGTATTGTGATCCCTCCTACTTTGCTCTTCTTTCTCAAAATTGCTGCAGTTTTCCGGGGTCATTTATGGTTCCATAAACATTTTTGAAGTGTTTATTCTATATCTGTGAAATATGCCATTGGTACTCTAATAGAGATTGCATTGAATGTATAAATTGCTTTGGGTAGTATGGACATTT